CTGTACAACCATGTTGTGCAGCGTAAGTCCTAGCCCGCCTTAGGTTCCGAGGTTGTCGTGTGACACGACGAAAACCCTCTTGTTTTTTCGGGCTATTTGCATAATCGAGTATTATGCATTCGTAAGTCCCAAATAATAAAATTGGCAGGATTAAACATTCAAATAACATCTTTTCTAAAATGCAGCCACACAGTAGAATAGTTTGGGAAGTCACTGAGGGTTCTCAAGATCTAGGACATCTCCTACTTTTTCTTTTCTCTAGACTCCTGAAGTAACTGTTCCTACTTGAGTCACTTTCACTTGTTTTTTTTTCCACGTCCTACCGTGAAAACCTAAACCTTGAAATCTTGAAGACTAGAACCACTGATCATTATCGAGAGTTTTCTCAAGAGACTCCAATCATTTGAGATGTAATTAACTATAGGGGTTTGCCTTTATAGAGAACTTGGAACCCAGGTAAAATAAGCCCTATTTAATCTTTGTATTAGATAAGAGAACTTGTCGGTCATACATAAAAAGGTTCGCAGACCAACGGATGTCGCAAATCTCTTAGTTTGCAGGATTGGGTCTATCGTCGAGGTCTACACTTATCTTTCGGGAGGGTGTAGTATTCGTGGTATCAGGTACGATTATGCAAACTGTTGGACGAATGAGATCCATTTGGTCTCATTTTTCAAAAATTAAAACATACTACTTTCAAAACCCAAACTTTATATCTATTATATTAAATTAAATTTCAAAAATTATTTTTATATCCATATTTTCAAATTCATCGAAAAAGTTGACTGACAACAACCTAATCACAACATACTTCCTTGTGTACATGGATGACATCCTCATTACATGTAACAACCCGCTCGCTATTGCTAGTCTTATACAAAATCTCAAAACTGAATTTCAGGTAAAGAAACTTGGACCCATCAAGACATTCCTTGGCTTTACCACTACCCAAACGCCCCGAGGCTATCATCTCAACCAAACTCCTACATTACATCTCTCCTTTGGCAGCTTGGCATGACTTCAACATGTAAACTTGTACATACACCTCTCCCCCATAAGCTGCAACCCAAGCTTCTCTACAAGAGTACCATGGCATCACCCAATACCGAAAGCTAGCTGGTTCTCTCCAATTCATCACTATTACTAGACCAGACATCGCTTTTGCCATCAACCAAATTTGTCAGCATATGCACCAACCTCTTATCTGCCACATCCAGCTCATCAAACATTTCCTATGATATCTCAAAGGAACTCTCTTCTTCAGTCTCCTTATCATCACCAAAGGGAATCTACAACTTTGCACATATTTGGGGTCCGAGTGGTCCGGTGATTCCCAGGACATATTCTCAACCATTGGATTCTACACATTTTTTGGCAGAACTCTTATATCCCGGACAGTTCAGAAGCAAAAAATGGTGGTTCGATCCTCCACAGAAGCCAAATACTGAGCCCTAGCTGCTGCTGCAACAGATGTGATATGGCTTCGCAGACTTCTTCAAGAGTTTTACGTACCTACAAGTACTTCCATACCAATCTATTGCGACAACATCTCTGTTATCGCTATAACTCCCAATCTAATTTTCCGTGCCACACAAAACAAGTTAAAAATTGGCTGCCACTTTATTCGCGAGCACATCTTATCTGGAGCTATTCAAATTCTACACATCTGTTCAATGGATCAAGGGGCCGATATCTTCACAAAAAGTCACACTGCAGCTACATTCAACAATCATTGGATCAGGCTTACTATCACTCCACCCGATAGTCAGCTAGAGGGGGAATAACAACCCTGCACTACTAGGCAACAAAGGCATTATCTCTAAGATCACTTCTCCCTCTATGTATTTAGGATACAAAGTTTGTAATTCTGTTTTTCTTACATTTTACTCTTTTCCCTGTAGCAAGTTTATTTCGGTTTCATAGCAGCTAGCGTTGCTGTAATTCAGAATTTATCACTTATGACCTATTTTAGCTCAACATATCTTAAGAGCCTGAAACTTTTAACTTATAATAAATGCTATATCTTTGTGCACATATATGTATGAAAACGCAGTTATATTTGTGTATTTACATTCTACAATCGACTTTATCCAAAAACTAAGCTTTACTTTATGCAGCAATTGTGTTTAAAAAATCCAACTGTTCGAAATCGATTGGGTTTGCCTAATTTAATGGAGGCGGCAACCAGAGATAAAGAGAATGATGGTGCAGCAGCGTCGGAGATCCTAATACCTATAGAAGCTGTACCTCCTAAAAAACTGCTTGAGGTAAACAGATGGCTAATTCAACTCCATCTGATTTTAGGAGCATTTACATACATACCACCCAATTCATATGTATTTATAAATCTAACACCTAAATTGTACTTTTTACATTTATACGTTCCAAGGCTTCAATATCATATCGAAAATACCATCATTTTAACTTTAAACAAGTGAAATACAATTTTTCATGCATAGATAAGATGGTATATATGTAAAAAATTGATGTTTAGTTGTTAGATATGTAAAGATCTAGGAATTGAGCTGTATTTATGTATGAAAATTTTCCTTGATTTTAATGTTTTGAATTGTAACTGTTGTTTTACATGTTTGTTTTGCTGTCATATAAAAAGCTTGCTCTTAAATACATGGCGAGTGGTGATCAAGATAAAGCTCTAATTTTGTTGCGGTAAACTTGCAATTTCCATTAATCATCTTAAATTTTTTGTTTTTTTTTCATGTTTCTTTTTCTAATAAACTCTGTAATGCTAACGGTACAGAAAAACAATTGAAAAAGATCCAGAACAAGTACAAGCTTTGGTCGCCATAGGACAGATTCTGTGCTCTAAGAAGTTATTTGAAGAAGCAGCTGAAAATTTCGAGCTCGCCATCCCAAAGCTCTCATACGTATGATCTGAAATGTTTTTTTATCGTGTTTGCTTGAAATTTTGCTGATTGTTTGGGTTGAAATGTTGAAATAAATGAAGCCATTTTGTTATCTAACTGGTTGACAACAGATCAAAGAAGAGGAGATTGGTCTTCTTGTTCTTTCACTTTTTGGGGCTGGAGTTTCAAGGATATGGCAGGTGAGTTAGTTTTGTTCTAGGGTCATTTACACTTACATACATACCACTCAATTCTTATGTATTTACATATCTAACACCTAAACTTTGCTTTGTACATTTATACCGCCCAAATCTTTATTATCACATCGAAAACATCACTATTTAAGATTTTAAAAAGTGAAATACACCTTTTCATGCATAGTTAATGTAACATATATGTAAAATTGAAGTTTCGGCAATAAATATGTAAATACCTAAGAATTGACTGGTATGCATGTAAATACATGATGGGTGATCTGCAACTATGTAAATATTGGTAGGGAAGAAACTCAGATGGAATAGAGCACTTGAAGAAGATTGCAGAGTTGAGGGAGCCAGATGGTCCCATGGATAAAGCCTGCTATTATAGGGGTTTGGTGATGCTGGGAAGGTAGCAAAGCTAGAAATTTTCATTTAGATTTGTAATTTTGATAATTTCAAGCTATATTATTCTCACTGAATTTACTGAAATGCAGCACTTTATTCCAATTGGGTGAAAAGTCCGAGGCTGCAAAGTATTTGAAAATAGCAGCGACCTATGATCCAGGTGTTGAAGCTTATCTCAAAGAATGTGAAGGATAGATCTGTAACAAGTGAAATTTAATTTTATAAAAAGGCGGCATTTACACAAAGAGCACCCGAAACATTACTCTGCACAAATCAAGCTCCATCTTTCATCCATATTTCAAATTCTCACTCAAATGTCAAATTTCATGATAAAGCCCCAACCCATACCTTTCATTTTTATCAAATTTTCGATGCTTTGAACTTGGGATGCGTAAATGTATCAGTTTGGTAGTTCAAAAACTTACCTGGGTGCTTGATTTGTAAATATCAATGTTTTGGATGCTTTGCGCGTAAGCATTTTCGATATTTTGTAGTTTAGGCACTAATATTTTTTATGTGATGTTAAAAATTTGCATGATATAAACATGAATGTTTGGGTGTTTGGTAAGCAAATATATGAGAATTGTCTGGTATGCATGTAAATGTCATTTTTTTTTATTGAGAAAACTACTTACATATCACAATATTCTTATGTATTTACATTTTAACACAAAGTTTGATATCTGTATTTATAATGCGTTGATCAAATGATATGCATGTAAATGTTTTAAGTAGGGCTGTAAACGAGCCGAGCTTGAGCGAG